CCCATATCAACTTGTAGATGTAGACATAAGGATCCTTGGGATGGCGGGAGCGTGGTTGCTTATAATAGTGCGTGGCGCTTTCTTACGCTGTTACAATCCTCTACTCAGGAGTCCCGCAAACTACATCAGACTTCCAAACCCAAGTTGGCGTTTTTCTAACTACGACAACCATTATAGACCGGGCACAAAACTCAAATTTGCTTTCTCATCACTACCCACTGCTCTCAATTCGACGATCCTCGTGGTGTTTGGAGACTGCTATTTGACCATGTTTCGTCGTGGAAGAAATGATGAATTTGAGCAAAAAACGTATGATTTCTCCTTGGGTGGGAAGAAAGAACAAACATGCCTCGGCGTGGGCTATGAAGATGATAGATTCTTTTGTTTATTTGAAATGGGGGATATGTTGATTTTCAGTATCGACGAGAATGATACGAGAATGTTGCTGGCGGCAGCTAAGTCTTTGCTTCCCGACCAACTCCTGCGATGGGACAGTCTGCTTGTTGTGGCGGTGGTGGTGACTAAAAAAATTATGGTTTCAAATGATCGATACCATGAGGCAGGAGATCAGGTGATAGGGTTTAGGATGGTCACTCATTGGCAGCGAGATCGTGAGGGGAGCTTCCAGCTAGTGATAGTGAAGAAAAATGCTCTGACGACAAACGATCTATTATTGAAGAATAAAAATGGTAATGACACGGAGGGAAATAGCAGATCAACAAAAGTGATTTTAGTGAAAGATCGGTTGCCAATGAAGAGAACTTTTGACATATATTATATGAGCATTCTACTTGTTCTTCGTTTCATACTTGTCTATTCTTTTCTTGCTTTGATAATTATAAGGTGTGGTTCTTACCGGTAAAATTCGAACCGATTTGTTTTCTAATTGTTGTTTGCGTTGCTTGAATTGCCCCTTTGTTTCGCAAGTGGATTCTTCGAACTTAGAGAGATATAATGAAGGGGTACATAATGCTTGTTATTATTACTAGCTTGGACCCGGCTAATTGGCCAAAAAAAATTAAGTTTGTTATTTTGTAAATTACCTAAAATACAGGATTTGTATTGGATTTTTAATTTTAATTTTTGGGTTAGTACCTTATTTTGGTCCAAACTATACCCAAACTTTCTACCTTGGCCCGTGATTTCTGAAATTGCTCCCCTGGCCCGAACTATGCACCATACTTCCTTGCTTGACCCGATGTGAGTTTTGATCGTCAAATTGGACGATCAACTCCATGGGACGTTAGTCAAGCCCCAAGTCACTTGCCACGTCAGCGAACCCGAAGCAAAAATAATTTGATTTTCAATTTATTTAATTTGTTTCATTTTCTAATAATAATAATAATTACCAAAAGAATTCAAAAAACAAAACGAATTAAATAAATTCAAATCCATTTTTTTTTATTTCGGGTTTGCTGACGTGCCAAGTGACCTGGAGCTTGACTAAAGGTCAATGGAGTTAACCGTCCAATTTGACGGTCAAAACCCACGCCTGGCCAAGCAAGAAAGTATTGGGCATAGTTCGGGTCAGGAGAGAAATTTCAGAAACCACAGACCAAGGTAGAAAGTTTTTCTGCGGTGGTTATTGGAGAAAGAGTTGTTTGATGCTAAAGTGATGAGGATTGTTTCAATGTTCTGGAGGATTTGAAAATCTCGAAATTGGGTCGTGTTTGAGGGAGTCCAATACAAGGTGCAGGTCCTCATTTGCCAGTTTTAGGCTCAAGTGCAGGAGTGGACTACAACGATGGTACCTCAGGGGCGTCAAGGTGAGATACAAGGGGGAATTTCAAATCCTTTGCCAATCGATGCCGAAGGGTGTGAGTTGGATATGTTCTCCTGATGATGCAGTGAGAAGTGGTTCGCACTCGGTTGTTGAGCTGGGGTTGCGTGGTTTGGACAGGGTCATGGTAGGCGCTAAGGAGGCAGGGTATTTGGCGGTATCGAATCTTATGCTCGTTGAGTTGATTGCGTTGAGAGAAGCTATTCTTTGGTGTCGTGCGATGGGGCTTCAACTTGTGTGTTTCCATGGCGATAGGGGTGGTAATCGGTAAACCGGTATTCGGGCGTGTGATTTTACATTCGGTAATACTGGATAAGAGTCGGTAGTTACCGACGGTATATCGGTATACCGTAATACCGATTATTAAAAAAAAAAAGGTAAAACGCGGTGCACAGGCTGAAGGGCTTTGGCGGATTGAATTTGGGGCTCTGCCGGGTCAAGCAACCCAACAGCAACCCTAAAATTTCTCAATCCAACGTTGGCCTCCCTCCCTCTCGTCTTCCTTTGAGGCGCAACTCTTCTCCTCCCCAGCAACGCGCGCCGTCGTTCCCTCTACAGCGCGCCCCGCCGTCGCCCCCTGCAGCGCACCCTGCCGCCGCCTCCAGCAGCCTCCTCTTCCCTTCTCTCCATCCCGACGGTATTCGCCGCGAGACCTAGCAGCTACGATCCACACCTCGTCTTCCTCTTCTCTTCACTAGGCAGCAGCCGCCGGCTGCCGCTTCTGAAGCCAACGGCAGGGTTCGCTGAGCTCAAGCTCGAAAGACGAAACCCCTGACCCTGAGGCAGACCCCTGTCTTCCTCTTCTCTTCTCTTCTCTTCTCTTCACCAGCAGCATAGTAGCATGTGAGATTCTAATTGTTTGTGAGAAGTAGCATGTGTGATTGTGTGAATTAGATGACTTGGATGATTGAATATAGAGCTCACTTCAGTTTGTAATGCATACGACATTATTTAGTCTACTAGTACATATAATATGCATCAAGCAGCAACTGCTCTGCATATCTATTAGTGTTAGAAGAATCTTTATACCTTAAGCTTATGAACCAAGGGAATTTAAATGGTCCCTAATAACTTCTTCTCTCTGTCGGGCTGATGCAGTACAAGTAGGCCACTCCAATCTTCTTCGCTCATGTTAGTGTCTCTGTTAGGGACAACATAGTATGTAGAACGACAGCATAATTGATGAATTCTAACAATTTGTTCTTTTTTCCTTAAACTTAGTCACTAGTACCTTTGAAGCTCGAATGGAAAGTGTAGGTGATATTCCAAGTGAAGGCCGAGAACATAATATACCCATTGCGGTTGAGGAGGATGATGATGATGGAGAAGATTCAGAAGAAGAAGAAGAAGAAGAAGAAGAAGAGGAGGAGGAGGATGAGGATGAAGAGGAGGATGATAATGATGTTCTTCTCAACACTTTGAAGAAGCAAGGTTGTGCTGATGTTGGCGGTTCGGGCCATAATTGCAATGGAGGAGCTAGTGGTCAATCTTAGTGGTGTAGTTATGCTATCTTTATGTAGGAGAATTTTATTTTAAGTTGAAACTTGTAAGTGTAACTTATGTTGTGAGACTATGTTGATTGCTGGATGATGAAATTTGTGAAATCTTTCATGTTTGAGACTATGTACTTATGTAGAATGTAGTAGTAATGCTATATTTATCTACTAACTACTTGTGACTTGTGTAGAATGTAGTTGACATCAACAATGTCATTCCCTAATGGAGAATTGGAGTATTGGTAAATCGTTAATGGTAAGTGAGTTATACTTGTAAGCTGTAAGAGTATTAGATAAACAACTAATTAACTAATTACTAATTACTATTAACTAATAGTGAATTTTGATTAATAAAACTTGCTAGACGATAGCAATATAATATAGTAATAATTAATAAACGAACAAAATTATTTTGATCATTTTATTAAACAACATTCAGAAAAATAAAAAGAACAAAAAACCCAAATCAGCCCACCCGGTATCGGTATTAAATCGGTATACCGGCTCGAAAACGTAATCGCAATGCATTAACCGGTATTTGGTATACCGGTATTAATACCGGATACCGACTATTCGGTATTCGGTATACCGGATAACATTCAGTATCGGTATTCGGTGGGTACACTGTCTGTTTCCGGTATACCGAATACAAGTTAATTGGTATCCGGTATACCGGATACCGACCGATTACCAGCCCTACATGGCGATGCTCTAAGTATTCATTCAGAAATTTAACTCATCAGATGTTGGGGATAGTCGGGGAGGGGCGGTGCTGCGGGAGGTCCATCAGTTGTTGTCAGGGGTGGTGTGGGATGTGGTCCAATTTGTAGGCAGGGAAAACAATAGGGTAGCCATAGGGTGGCTCAAAAGGCTCTTTCTTTGCACTTGGGTCCGATCGGAGTTATAAACGTTGTGATCTATTGGTTCTTGGTAATGCAAACTATCTCCTTATTTATTAGGTAAAATTACTTCTACTTATATTATTTGCCACCAATACATAGATTATTCCGTCGGTATGCTAACCTAAGATATATAGCAATCATCTTCAATATGTTTCGTTGTTGGGTTTGCGTGGGTGAGTTACCGGTTGAAGGAGATTCTGAAACAAGAATGTGGGAAGGGGGCATGCAAATCAAATGCATTAGGAAGGGAAGAAGGATATGAAATGCTAAGGTCTACGAAATAATTGATAGATTGGCATTTGATTTTACAACTTCGGAAGCCTGCCAATCTATCTACCAGAGAATTACGTTGTAAGTAAACCCGACCCTCTTTCTGAACCCATTAATTTTACAACTTCGGAAGGCCCGCCACTACACTACACAAGCAATGCTAGTGCTAGTAATTAATTTAATCTTTGTAACTTGTAAACAACCTCGTCGCCAGCCTCGCAATGCAGAGTACCCTCAAGACGACATTGCAACAACCTGAGGTTTATGGCCTCGATCAAACGGTGTGTTTTGGCCAACATCAAATTTGTTTGAGTGGCAAACATGAAATAATTCCCCCATGAAAAAGTCAATGCATCAAAGAGGACATTTATGAGAAGAACAAATATTATTGTAAAAAAAAAATAATAATAAGAGAAGAACAAATATCAAACTCCATACTTAACTACTTAAACCATATACGAATTGGAATGGTATGAAATAATGCAAAATAGATTACTTATGTTTCTCGTATCAAAATCGGGAATTCATTCTAATAATATGAGGAATACACGGCACTGAAAATTGTTGTAATTATTTTCATTTTTTTTGTTGTGATTTCACTTTAATATAGCCATACGACCCAAATCCTATTCTAGTTGATAAAAGAATAAATTCTTATATTGACAACTTCTTTTTAATACACTCTAATATTGACCGTTTCATAAGCCTTTCAATCAGGCACTTGCTTCTCGCCACATTATAATCATAATAACATTTAAAACGAGACTGCAAATCAAATCACGTTCAAAATAGAAGAGTTCATCAAGACCACAAGAAAATTGGATAATAATCGTAAAAAAAAAGATCAGGAAATCAAAGTTGATAGAATATGATCACGGGAGAGGATCAACGACCCTGGGCTGATATATGTCCAAACCTATTGGATTCCATCTACACGAGACTCCCGTCCCACGTCGACGGTACCTACTTCGGCGGTGTATGCAAGAACTGGTACCAAGTTCACTCTCACAGTGCAGTTTCCAATCCCCTACCAATGGTAATTAGCCATACAAAATTCTCTAGCTCCGACATCGCGCAAGTGCGAGAGGATAACTGGATGTCCGTACAACTACGTCAAATTCCACAATGGCTTGTAGATGTCGACATAAAGATCCTTGGGAGGGCAGGTGCGTGGTTGCTTATACAAGAGTATGGCACTTCCTTAGGTTGCTACAATCCTCTACTCCGAAGTCCCGCAAACTACATCGGACTTCCCAATCCGAGATGGCTTTTCTCTAACTACCGCCTCAATCTTCGGGAAACTTCACCAGCAACAGTCAAGGTCGCTTTCTCAACACTGCCCACTACTCGTGACTGTATGATCCTCATGGTGTACGGAGACAGCTATCTCAGCACGGTTCGTTGTAGTGACGATTGGATTTGGAAGACGTATGATTTCTCCTTGAGTGGGAAAAGTGGACAATCTTGTCTCGGCCTAGGCTACAAAAAGGAAAGATTCTTCTGGTTATTTGAAATGGGGGATATGTTAATTTTCAGTGTGCACCATAGTGAGCCGAGGATGCTTCTAGCGGCCACTAAACCTCTGCTTTCCCAGCAACTCGAGCGATGGGACACCTTGCGCGTTGTGGCAGTGATGGAAAAAATGGATGAGGCTACAGCTGCAGATGATCTATTATTGGTGGTGACTCATTGGGAGCGAGATCATGAGGCGAGTGTCAAGGATAGCTTCCGCCTTGTGGAAGTGGAGGAAAAATTTACGGCCACGCAGGGGCGGAGCTAGAATTTAGTTTTCGGGGGGGCCGGAATCCGGTTACCATAAATGACGAAAATATTAATAAATAAGTATTTGACAAAACTAATTATACACACAATATTTTTATATTAAATTCAATATAAATTAGAATAATATGAAAAAATTAACAATGCATTTCAATTTTTGTGTAGCATATTATGTTTTCATAACTAAAAAGTGAAGCTCTACCGATATTACTATTCAAAAAATTACTCATTATATATATGAAAGTAACCTTAGAATTACAAATTTTATTGGTATACCTTAGCCTTATACAGGGCGAAAGAATTGACCATACGGCAATACCCTTTTTTCTTGTTAAGTGAAAAATGTAAAGAAAAACAAAACAAAATGCTTTGAAGAAGTTTCGAAACCTTGATTTGGTAGAACATAATGCACATACATAGTTTACTTCCGCTGGACTACTTGAAGTTTCTTGGTAACAATTCTCATGTCAGTTGGGATTTATAGATATTCTTCAATTTATACGTATAATCTCGAACTCGTTACACGTAACTTTCAAAATTCTCGAGGGGCCGGGCCCCCCCCGAGGCCTAAGCTAGCTCCGCCCCTGCGGCCACGACAAATGATCTATTACTGGAGAGTAATGATGATGATGATTGTGAAATGGGGTTGGTGGAAGACGAGGACTACAAAACGAGGATGCTGTTAGTGAAGGATCCATTGCCATTGAAGAGGAATTTCGACGGCTTTTACATTATCACATTGATTTTTTTTTGCTTGTGTATTCTATTTTAATCTTATGGCATTTGGAAGGATATGGACTCACAATTAAGACTATATCACGTACACAAGGCGACGTGACGTGGCCTAAAAAAAGTTTTTGAGTACCATTCCATACTTTCTTTAAATATGTACTCACTTATTTTTTATGTTAATGTATTGAAAATTGGAATCCAATTTCATTTCGTGTTTTTCCTTCGTTCTAACTCCTCTTTGTTACTACTCTCTTTCTTTCGTAATTCGTTCTAATCTTTCAAGTTCATAATTAATATTAAAGATCCATACGCCACGGAATAATGAAGGAGTACTTCATTTGGATGAGTAAAATTAGAATTGATTAGATGGACCTATTTCTATCAAACTTATGACAGATAACTAGAGGGGTGCAAATTCAAGTGGGTGCAGGTTGAGAGATAAATTGGAGTGGGGTGTAAATTGGTAAGGGGTGTAAGTGGGTTGGTAAACTATTGTTTGGATGAAAAATTAGTAGTGGGTGCAAATAGAGTGAAAAATAAGTAAGTTATATTATTATAAAATAGATATATCGAATTTATAAAAGATTACCATAAAATAATATAAATAAAAATTATTATATAGTAATAAATATATTTTAAAGATAATAATATGTAAACCGCTAGGGGGTAGGCGGTTTGCTTGTTAACTACCGCTACCCCCCGCGGTCAATCAAACCGTCCCGATCCCAGGCAGTTTTCAGCCGACATGAACAAAAACCTTGCCCTCCCCAAGCGTTTTTCGGGTAAACCACGGGATGGGGTTGCGGTTTATGGGAAAGAGTGTTATTTTTGGGAAAAAAGAAAAATTTTGTGGTATTTCTGGAAAAATCCCGAAGAATGGAGAAAGAAGTAACTAGTTTTAAATCAAATTAGCAAAAATGGCACTTTAAAGTATCATTTTTGAATGGTACTAGAAGTAGTGATGACAATGGGGCAAGGCGAGCATATACCTCCATACCTGTGTCCCGCCCCACGCTACTACAGGTCATGGCAGGTAAAACTCGCGCAGTTACGGGGTGTGGCGAGTCGACCTACTCTTACATGTTATTTGAAAAAATACACGCAAAGTTTACTTTTTACAATAAAACAAAGGGGAAAACACTATAAAAAATAGTGATAATAGAATGGGTAATTGAGTCTAACAAGTTGAAAATTCGACTCTAAGTAGTTGAAGAAAAGTTAAAATAAGAGAACTATGTATAAATATTGTACGAAATTGAGATAAAATAGGCCAAGAACGGGGCAGGGAAGGGCGGGTCGAAAGTAGATACCCATGCCCCGCTCCACGCTACTACGGGTCGGGTAATACACGCCATATCGTGCATTAGGTCGGGTAATACCACCAAGGCGGGTTCAAATTTCCATCACTGACTAGAAGTGACATTTTTATCTTTTTCTAATGTCCAAACAACTTGGTTCTCTCATCCAAAGGAGCCGCCCAAAATCTACAAATAGGGCTCTACCCCACCATATGAAGACACATTGTCTCAAGTACCACTTGAGATACACTCCTCTCTTCTCCCTTTGAAATAAACCTTATGTTCTATCCTTCTAAATGCCTCTCTCATAGTTTCCAATCCTCACTTAGGAGCTTGGGAGAGGATAGAGATATTAGAAGAGAAGACGATGAAGATAAAAGTTAGGGGAGACATTAGGTCAGATTTGGGTTAGAGACTTAGTAGTAAGATTTTGGTTATGGGTGGACTTTTGGGGTTTGAGCTAGTGGCTAATCGGGAGTAACTAGGCCCAGGACTAGTGGGTTCGGGTTGTCGGCTTAGGGCTCCAATGTTATGTTCGATCTGTTCGAAATCAAACACCAAGGATTAGCCACCACTTTCGATTTTTGAACCAAGATGCAGAGTGGTTAGATTCAGTCATGTTCATTTAAACTTTCTCGAATCGGATGCCCATTATATTGCTACCCTACCCTTAATTACACGACATCACTAAGTGGCTAACTGGCCTTTAAACCCTTGCAATTGGATATAAGTATGTCGTATACCCAATGTGTACGATTTCACAAAAGTGGAGCCTTTGGAACAGAACTCATATCAGAAGAAATTATGTCAATGAAAGTATCCACTCACATAATGTCACATTGACAAAAATTTAACCAATGCGTGAGTTATATTAATTAGAGCATGAAGTTCTTGGTTGTCTTAATTAAACAAAGGTGAAAACTTAATTTCCAAGCTTCTTATTCAAACAAAAAATCACTATACACCAAATTATACAAAATGTAAACGAGTTTCAAATTTCAATAGAAATCCCTTTCTCCCCATTTTTCCAATGCCAACCCTCTTCATACATTTTTTTTTAAAGATTGGTTGGCTGTTTCATTAAAACGAAACACGGTGAACAGAGTTTACAACACTGAAAGGAAGGACAAAAAACCAACTAAAAAAAGATTGAAACTAAAGGTGGACATCCAAGGCTTTCGACCATGATGTTGAACACACATCTATAAGTTCTTTGCCAAGAGGTCCGTCTAATTTTGATTCAAGCATATTCAAAAGTCAAACCCCTCATCTCTTTAATATTTTAAGATTGAAGCTTGGAAAGACCTTCATGTAGAGTTTTGACTGTTTACCTACATCCTCTTAGGAACAACCTCGATTCTTTTCCCCTTCTATCTCTAGTTTAAAACTTGCCTCTCTCTCTGTCTCTTGTGTTTAATGGTCGGGGCTGGTTGAAGTATCATATATTCATTTCGGATACCACTTGTCAACTTCTACCCACCTTTGTCTGCCTAGCTCATACATACATGCGGGTCAGATCAGGTCCTTAAGGCTTATTCTTTAAGGAGGATCTTAAACTCTTTTCAGCCAATAGGAGAAGGAGAGAGAAAATCATTAGTAATCATTAAAGAATGGATATAAAATTAAATTCAAACAATTTATAGGTTTTTTAACTTCGCTATGAAATTCTTTTACTGGCCTCCCCTTATCGAAATTTCTGGCTCCTTCCCTGCCAATCTCTAAAATTTTGTTCAGTATCAGTATTAACACCAAATGAATTACTTTCAAAATAACAAATCAAATATACTAGCTCCACAAATCATTATCAAAATATAAAACAAACAATGTTGTGGTGTCAATACTCGTGCAAAACAAATAGGATAAAATCTCAAGTATAATAACAACACACTAGAAAAAGGTGGTGCCTAAGAAGCGCATGAACAAACTAAACCAACAATCTGAAACAGGAAACGACTAAGCAACCATAAACATACTACACATAACAAAATGAACCTTGTATGAGTTGTCAAATAGTAAGGAAATGAGATATGTATAATTAAATGATTATCTTGGTGATATCTCATTTCGGTATTGAGATAATCGTTTCGTTATGTGTAGTATGTTTATGGTATTTTAATACCGAAATCGTTTTATCCCTTTCGATCAATACCATAATCGTTTTGCATATTTTAATACCGAAATATAAACTATTGCATATTGTATGAGTTATCAAATAAGTAAGGTAACGAGATATGTATAATTAAACTATTGCATATTTTATATTTCGGTATTGATCGATATTTCGTCATAACCGATCCCAGTTCTGTAATCACTAATGTTGGGGGGCATGGCTCGGGTCTAATCAAGCCAATAAGCTGGTTCAGTACCGCCCATGAAGGAACACTCATGGTCGAACTACCGCACGCACAAAAGGAATCAACTCGCGAAAAGATTCTACCCGCGGAAAGACTCAACTCACGGAAGAGTCGACGCGTGTATGGAAGCGCTCCCGGATGTCAAGGCGTTAGACGCCGTCGTTTTGCTTGACTCAGGCCAGATAAAGAAGCCAAGAAACAACATTGTTCCCCTGAGGAATAGTCACATCTGAGCCCTAGATGTAATTATAACCTAAATTTCTGCCAATTTCATTAGTCATGTCGCATTAATTATCCACCCACCACAATGTAGCCTATAAATGTTAGAAATCGAACAGGAAAAATTAGGGTTACCGATCTGGCTGAGTCGCGGACTAGGTCGCTCTCTTTAAGACGTTCGCGACACTGCCTTCATTGCGCACGGCAGACTATCAGCCGGTCGCCTCCAGGATAAAACAGTCATTCTGATTTGTTGCTCATCGGTTTTGTGCGATAAACCGGAGCTCTATGAACTCACTCTCTATCTCGTGTTTCTGCTCTCTGAGGTGTGTTTAGAGGGTCTGGGTAGTCTCCTATTTATAGGAGCAGAAAACCCAAAATATTCTCTCTTTCTTTGGGAATAAGTCACATTTTAATTAGGGAGATAATTACTCCCATAATTAAAATATAATATATTAAGATAATTATTCCTAATTATCTCCATAATATTCCTTTTATTAATTATCCATCTTAATTTTGTATTATGCGGAAAATACTAGATAATTAATTAGGAATTTCATTATAGCTTTTCAAAGCTATTCATCCCAACAATCCCCTACTTGAATAGTTTGAAACTATCTCTGAGCATCAACAGTTCCATAAGATCGGGCATAAGCTAAGGTATCGCGAAGATTTGAACCTTAGCGTAGTGGTTACACTTCCAATTTCATAAGGGTGACTCGTAGTCTTGAACCCTATCTCAGACAATGTAGCACACCGGATCTTTTCATTGAGTGATATTCTCTCATAGGCCGTGCGTTTATGGCCATGCACGTTATCCTGGTTTAGTGAACGCTCTAGCAACTTTGTGCCTCCAAAGTTCCATAGGGAGCGGCCCCACTCCCACATTCACATAGGTGAGTCTATCAGAAGTACCCCCAAAGTAAAGTACTTCACTCCACATAGAGTATAGATCTCATTAAGAGTTTAACTCAACCTCCAAGGCTTTGGGATTCATGCTTCACTATGCATGAACTTTTCGCATACTACTCATGACTTGTTATTACCCATTGAACCCATTTCTTGGGATCTCCAGTCTATTGGGTCGGGTTACCATCACTTGTAGTCCGTGGTTCGGTGGGCATAAGTCCCATACCCTTGGCGGTACTTTGGAATTTCTCTCTAGATAATCCTTTCATCAAAGGATCAGCTAGATTCTGTTAGGACCTTACAGGATCCACCCTCATTGCTCCTATCATTAGGAGTTCTCTTACAGTACTGTGCTTAAGACAAATTTTTCGTCTCTTTTCGTTCTAGAACCGGTTCCCTTCTTTAGTAATAGCTGCGGCACTATCACAATGAATCAACTACCGGAGGGATCGGTCTTTCCCATAAGGGAATCTCTAGTAATGACCCTCTCAATCAACTTTTCTCTTTATAGCCATTGCTAGCTCTATCATTTCTGATTCCTTAGTTGATTGAGCCAGGATCGTTTACTTCTTAGACTTCCAAGAC